CTGCAGCATCTCAGATTAAAAAAAGAGAAACAAAAACTTCTGAGCTCTCAGAATGCTTGAATCCCAACCAAAACTTTGAGACTTGTATATGCACTTTTCTTCACTCTTATTATGTATTCAGTGAGATTCCAGTAACCTCAGTAGACTGACCTAAAACTAACTTTTTCTTTGAAGTAATATGGTGAAGTTCATGAAAATATTAACCAAAATATTTTGGTCAAAAACAAAAGTGAAGAAAACATGAAAGGTACTTGTACCATGGGAAAAGCAGCATCTCCACATACAGCAAATGTTATAAAAGATCTCGTTAGATTTGGCTGAGAAGACTTTACTTAGGGCTTTGCATCTTACACAACCTGCTTAAACTTGTCACATGTAATGTCACAGGCTATATTAAAGCCTTCACTATACAGGACCTTTCTCCACTGATACAAAGGAATTCACAGTGGAAAAGAGTTTTTGTATCAGTTTCATGAAGCGATTTAAAAAAAAAAAAAATCAATGAAATACGCTCAGTTTATCATCTGACTTTTAAACCATACCATAACCACGTTTTAGTCACTTTCCAGAGCCAAAGTTTAAAGGAGTTTTCATTTTAATTATTATTTTTTTTTTAATACATCAGTGTTGTCTCATTTTAACTCTCAGGAAAAAAAAGGTACCTTCAAAGTCCCCATCTCTGGCTTTTGCTGCAAGTTCTGAGGATGATATACTTTCTTGACATAAAGCACAGTCTTCAAGTGCTGCATTCCTTAAACCCTGATTAACTGTAAAACAAACCAAAAAGTACTCAGATTCATATTTTTCAAATTTGCACGTAAAATATTCATGTTAGGACTTCCAGGACTAGATTACAGCAGCATCTATATGTACCTTCTTAAACTTCCTGCTTTTTCTTTACCCTGACACAAACAGTGATTTACAAGTCTCCTGTATTCTTTTATTTGGAATGACAGAGATGAAAGATTCTGTTATTATTGCAGGACATACAGTCCTCTTACTTCTAGCAGTTTAGCTGTATCCTGTATTTCATTTCCCAGTTCTTAACTTGGATCCTTTACAAAGTAGATTATAAGAACAACCAGAGATTCCCTAGGTGAATCACACACATCAGATCACATATATCAAAGAGAAACTTCATTCCCCAAAGTCCCTGACTTATTCACTCACTTTTTTATGCTTACTGTTGGCAACACCTTTATTTTTATGTAATAGTTCATCCATTAGAAATTATTCCAACTCAGTACTGTTGATTAATATATTTCCTGGTGGTAATTCCTCACAGCTCCAGTTTCTTTATTACTCTTATTTGAATGTGCAGGAGCAACGTGATCCTCTCTTTAGCAATTCTGTCTAACCCCATTTTTTCTTGCCAATTAAAAAAACCGATCTCTTCTTACATCTTGACAACCTGACACTATAAAAATGACGTGGAGAGGACTGTAATACATGTTTTGAGTTATCCCACTGCAGAGTTGGGTCAGATTGGAGGTTTTTCTGATAAATTTAACCAACTTAACCAACATAGTGTTTCATATAAAATCCTTACTGCTTCTAAATGAAACTGTGAGAAAGGGAAAGAAAAAATTTTCAATCCTGTGGAAAGAGAGGAAAAAAAAAAAGAGCACTCTGATCACCTTCAGAAGTTGATAGTTCTAATCATGAGAAAGGACAAAGGTAATTGCAGTCTTGCTGGGATGACATGGTTATTTTTAGTTTAGTTAGCAGACTTGCCTCTTTGAAAAAGAAATAATCAAAATGGTGACAAAGAAAAAAATTTCTTGCATTGGCTCATGATCTAGTTCCAGTTCCATTATCTTAATTATCTGGAAGTCAAAAATGAAAACTTTTCTACTTAAAGCCAGATTCAGCATTCTGCAATTTCTACACGACAAGCCAGATTTCAACATTCTCATCTTATAGCCTGCTCTTTTTACCCAGCTATTTGAACTTCACAATGAAGATACATGTCTTGGTGAATCAAAATGTGTCCAGTGTGAAATAATACCAGGAAAGAAAAAAAAAATATCTTAAGTCCAAACCCTGCATAGATTATGCTACGGCTATATGGGCTACACTGTTCTGTTATATAAAGTAATATGGAAATGAGCAGATACACTCTGAAGGCTTTAGTTTTTTCAACTTCTGCCTCAACACACACTCCTGTGTACCTATACTTCCAGTGACTTCATCCTGCTTACAGTCTGTTTCCATGACTGTTTTTTTTAAACTTAAGTCAAATCACCGCACAGTGAGCCCCGCCAAGAAGTTAATAATGTTAAGGAAATTCTTGTCAAATAGTACATGGCTCCCCAGTAGAAACTCCCTATAGAAAACAAATGTTTACATCTCTTTACCTTTCTTTTGCTTTTCCTTGTCTTCTGTTTCAGGTTTGGTTGCCATAACTTCAAACAAGGTCTTTAAGATACTTCTCAGATCACTAGCATAGTTCGTCTGCAGCTGGTCAGCCACACCTGGGAGTTTGAGAAAACGTGTAAACCATTACTAGATTATTATACCACCCTTAAAAAAAAATTAAATTCTGTTGCTACCGGTAACAGCCTCATTTATTTTTGAGGGGATCACTTGCTTGTGTTAGGAATAAAAATTAAATATTTAAACTTATTTTCCATAATGGCCAAGTTACATTCTGCCCTTTACGCTACCTGCAATTTGGTACATGCCTTCCCTATCTTTTAACAGAGAGATTCCTTTTGAATCAAAACAAAACTGCTTCATCAGATTTCTTCCCTTGAAGACATAGGGCATCATCAAGAAAAAGGAAACACTTTCAAGTCAAACCTATTGGCATGCCAAAACCCTTCATCACTACAGATCTAAAATATCGCCATCTCCGATTCTGAAAGTTCCCATCAGGTAACAGGTCTCTTCCTACACCAGCCTGCAACTTAGGCCCCAAAACACAGTCTTCCTACAACTGCACAGAACTCTAGTCCATTCTACCATAACTTGATGCGCACAAAAAAAGAATATTTTTTACATTCAGAACAAAAGGCTGCTCTCATACCTGAGATACAGACAAAAAGGCGGTGAATAAGATCATTACTGCCATGAAATCTGGATCTGATCTTTTCTCGGGTGGCAATTTTAGCAGCCTGCAAAGCGAGCTGGATTTCTTCCTCATCGATGTCATCAGATGAACAAGAACTTGTCATTAAACTGCTGTCGGGAGGAAAAAAATATGTAAAGAAAAGTAACGTAAATCTTCACTCAGTTGTTCAGGATGTTCAGCAAGTCCTAAAGGATTTATGACTCAGGCATCTCTAAAGCAAACCACACTAATTGCTGTAAATTCTTGTTGAAGTTAATCAACATGCAATCAATCACGATCATGTTTGATTTTCACACTGTGACAAAGCTGCAAAAAAACTTCTAAGCAGAAACTAATTTGTCTGCATTTTATTGCATTTTCCTTAGATCCTACGAAGTGCTGTGCCATTTTTCACATTAACTTCTTCTAACAGCTCATTCCTGAGACCATAACTCCACCAAAAATCTTAAAGGGGAATATCAATCTCAAAATGAGAAGGTCAGTTCTGAAGTCAACTTAGAAATTGATGAATGTGGAAGTTAATTTGAAAAAAAGAAGTTCTGAATTAAGTTGCTGTAAAGTAGTGAGAATAGAATCTAAATATAACCTTACATAAAAAAAAAGGAAAGAAGGGAGATAAAATATAATTTACACAGTAGAGATAGATTAGTCCCCTTATATACCCAACTGTAGAAATTGCTGAAATGTCACACTATTGTAACAGAATGGCTCTTCAACTCCAAAGATATTAAAATGTGTTACCAAATGTCTACTAGAAAAAACAGATGCACAATTGCCAGCCACTTGCAATCCCTGCTCCTTATGGACAGAAAGCTTGAAACAACCAGAGACCACAAGGAAACTTCGGTGGAAATCCAGCTTCTTCAAATATCAGGGATTACTTAAACTATCTGTAAATCAAGATGTATCTTTTAAAAAGGAACTACTTCGGGAAAACGTAGCACTTTGCCAATGACAAAAGCCTTAATTGGGAGTAGAGCGCAGGACACAATTAATTGAAGTCCTAAGGATTTGCTGTATTGACCGCAGGAGACATGCCTTCTTACTCCATTCAGAGACAGAGGAACACTAAATCATTTCCCCCACATATTGGAAAGAAATTAATCTCACCAATGATAACAAAAAGCTAGAATATTTCACTTATAATCATACTTCGGCTGTCTAAGACCCCAGCACTCTCTACTATGCAGACAACTGTTAAGTTAAAAAGAAGTTACTAACTGCATAAATAGCAGGCATAATGTAGGAAGTAGTTTCTAACATATTCCAAGTCCAATCTGCTTTTATTAGGTGCTGAAACAATCGCCACCTTGCAGATCCCATCCCTGTGGCAGTACACACGAACAGCTATTGCAGGATAGGATAAATAGGTAACATTATTTATAACAAAAATTTATGGGATATAGTTTTGAAATTCTACCTGTAGGCTATACAGGTAATCCTTTAAAATGTAAAAATGAATTTATTAGGCCATACAATCTTAAAAGCCCTAGTAAAAATGAAACACAAAATAAATACTGGAGATGAGTTACAGACAAGTATTCATGGAAAATGTGTAGCATGAGTACCTTAACTGGCTTCCCATTCTTTCAAAGACAGAGTAAAGAGCAGGCTTGCAAGAGACTCATTTTGTTCATGTTATCTATTGCTATTAAGAAAAGCAAATTCTTGTCAAAAGATGTTAGTTCTGTTTACAGTTCCCTCAGCACCACTCCTGACTAGGTTTATTAAAGATACTGAGAACAGAGTGAGAATTCTCTCTCAAATTTTCCTTCACTTTTCCATAGAGTGTGTATATATATATATACACATATATATTAAATAATAGCAAGCCTCTCAGTGTGGAAGAGTCTGTATTCAAGACAATGAAAAGTTTAGGTAAGAACATGGCTTACGAAGGAGTAAACTGAAAGTTAGTAAGAGCCAAGAAGTGATCCCTGATTCTCCATGGTATGTGGCAGCTAATTGCCTGCTTGCACAATCGTGCACATATACAGATAAAGGAGTTTGTCTGTGTCCTAATGTGGCCAAATAAAGTCTACATTTTTTGTTGTTTCTAAAATAGTTTATCTTACAGTGATATACATATTTGCACTATAAATTCATTTCCAAAGCAAGCATGGACCTCATGAGGGAGACAAATGCAGTCTGTGTAATTATATAAAAACAGTGCAATGGTCTCTTTGAAACTCTGAATAAGCAAAGACCTTAGTGCAGAGGAAAGTAGAGGCACTTTTTCAAGGATGACTCTTCCCTCCAAATTACGGCTGAAAAAATATTTCCAAGTGAGGTGTTAAGCAGGAAGGGAACTGTGAAGAAGACTTTTCAAGAAAATAAACTATTTAGTCCTTTCTCATTTTCCAGAAAGGAAAAAAAGGCTCACTCCACAATTCTGACCAAGCTCTGACCAATTTTAATAATAAAGTTTGCCTTTCCAAGCCTCTTCCTAGTGGGAGGAATGTGGTTTTACCTACTTCCTAATTCCTCCAAGCAACATGGTTTGACCTATTCCTGTCCCAGGTTATTCTGTGCTAGAGTTTGTGGTGTCATTAAGACTGGTCATAGCTTACCACAAGACTGGCTGGAAATTTTTTATTCAAAAAATCCTGAGCACAGAGCACATACAGGTTGCTTCAGCGCTGTGGGGGTGGGAGGTCAGCATGTATGCACACTCGCGTTTATAACATACTTTCATACAGACAGTCACGTGTAAATACAATATCCATATACAAGAGGAATATTTTGTATTCAGGATTGCTTGTGCCATGGGAAAGAGAAAAGCAAACATCCCAGAATAATTTAAAACTGGACCTAAGAATCATTAGAGTTAGAAACAATTGCTCTACCAACAGGACCAAGTAAATTTTAGACAAAAATTACTCTCTTAGAATGACTAATGACAAGGTATTCTTTACTTTAAAATACATCTTACTGTTGAATGTAGCCAGAAAAACTAATATTGTAGAGGCAGTCACAGATACCGTAAGAACAGAAACATAGCAAATTGTTTCAGACAAACAGAAAGAGGCAGCTTTTCTTATAACAGGGTATCCCAAACAGCAGTGACTATATCTATTCAAATATTAAAGAGTTTGATTTTTTAAAAATTGATATTATAGAAAATAAACCTGAATTTTGATTTACAGAGTTCGGCTTACCTTTTCTCCAATTATTCTTTCAAACAAGTTATTTTTTTAGTTCTATAAGAAATACCATTCCTACTTGGCTTATCTAACATGCATAACTTGGCTCAAAATTCTCAGCTGATACCAGACGTGTAGAAAGCATTTCATTAACGTCAGATTACACTCAGATCTGGAGTGTTTCACTGCCAATATCTGCAAAGTCAAGTATCACTGCAGAATATAAACAGCCATACAAGTAGCTAGAGACAAGTCCTCATTTTCTCAACGTCTTGGTTAAAGGGAAACTTCTATTACCCAAGGAGTTAGGTTAAGAAGAGGTAAGACCAAAATAAGCATGGGATTCCCCTTGTGAAATGTTTATCATATAAACAATGCTTATCATGTATTTATTTTTCAGATTGTAAAAACATTGCAAAGTTAACACACCTGAAGGCAAATATCAAGAAATAAGACATTACATAAAAGGTTGATTCCAAAGAATAAACCTGCTTTTATGTTATAAAGGAACAGATACCATCTAACAGATACAATGAATTAGCTTTTTACCAAACTTGGACAGTGTTTACCTAGAAATTTTAAAATTACTCTCTATTTGTCATGTTAGAAGAGTAGCAAGACACTTAACACTTGAAAGATGTATCTGTAGAAAGGTTGCCTGGTCTCAAAGCTTGACTGTGAAATTTAGTCAAACAATGTAAAAGCAAACAGCACTCAATAATGTAGTTGTACTCAATATCATCTTTCACCTGTGGAACCACTCTGCTTTACACCTTTTAAGTTCCAGAGGATAATTGTGAGACAGGTTAAATTGCAGTATCCATACATAAGGGACAACAGGACTGTGGAGCTACAAGATTAGGACCGACACTTTCAGAAGTGGCCAGTCATTTTAGGTAGCCACCTGTGATAAAGATGGCCTTGCACTGGGTTTGTTGGTCATTGACACTCATCCAAACCCAGTAAAACCAGCAAAGTCTAAAACTGAGCAACCAAAGTTAATTGGTTCAAAGTTGGTCTGAGTTTACATATTTTACCTTTGTGCTCAAAAACCAATCAGTGGCAGTAGAAATCTGTGACCTCTCACAGGTATTCCCTTACAAATTTGTGCAGAAGTGCCTTAAACCTGAAACCTGCTCTGAACTGAATACAGAATGTATGAGATTTTCTCAAAGAACTCATTATTATTCACAAATAAACCCTGAGTATCTTAAGTATGCATTAAATACACAGCACTAGCAGATAAAAAGAATATTAAAGTTCACTGTATCAAATACAATTAATACAAAGAAATTGAATTATCATGTTTTCAAAAGAACAATAATAAACTTTAAGAAAGCAGGTTGGTTTTATTTGTTTGTTTTTAGAAATCTTAGATCAAAAGTGGTCACTACTTGCAAAGGAGTAACCCCAACATACCTATTCTACTATAAATGACACAATTAAGTCACCAAATTTAACAGGAAAGTGAGATCACCCTCTAAGTCTCTTATGTCAGGCAAGGTCTTTGATTACAACTAATTTTCAGGCACAGATTTCAGAATATTGTCAGTGGTGCCTTTAAACTGAGAGGGCTCAAGTTCCAGCAAGACAACCTCATCCCAACAAAGTCCAATATCAAAACACTGAGAAGTTCTATGAACAAGACTACAGATGTTTTCTAGAAAAGCGTTAACACATAATTCAGTGAGTACCCTCACACCGTTTGTTATAGGAATACCTGTGACACCAGTGATTCCTATTTGCTTGCTCGAAATCTCCAGCGCACTGCACGTGCATAGGTGTAAGTAGCATGCAACTATTTGCAACAAAAGAGGTAACACTTCCTGCTGCAGTGTGAAGCTTGTGAATCCAACTTTACAGTGAATTAAAAATCCATGTATTAAATGGTAGTATTCTGACGGAAAGGTTTACCCACTTTGCAAAACCTGAGTGATAAATTTTGAGACAAAATTGCTGTTCAGCAA